ATTCCAGTTCTTACAAGTAAAATCCGATAAGTATCTTATCCGCAAAAACTTAAATTTTATTCGTCCGTCGGTGGGATTCGAACCCAGGTCTCCCGCGCGTGAGTTCAAAGACTTTGAATGGAGTCAAGAAGAACGCACGGCAAACCAAATACTATATGATGGGGCGTTTGCGAAGAATATTAGTTTAAACGAGGACGGAAGCTAACTTCGGCAAGCCGAAGTTTTAATACCCTTGCAGACTTTGCCGAAATTGCTAAAACTGAAAAAGTAGCGAAAGGAATAAGGTATACATAAATAAACTAGATTTGCATCGTTTAATGTCAATTGCTTTTATACTGCAAAAATGTCATATAAAAATAGAAAAAAAGGGATACTTTCGCAGCCTTTAACTATTTTTCCTACGGAAGCTATAAGAAATAGACGTCCGATCGGCAAGCGCTTTTACCCTAATCCAGATATGCGTAAATAAATAAGACTTTGAAAAATGTATGTCAATAGCTTATACACTGCGCGAAATATTCTAAAAAACATGAAATTTTTACCGATTTCACCGTATTGTTCCTATGGGAGCTATAGGATATTGACGTCCGATCAGCACGCGCTTTTACCTTGATGAAGGAATGCATAAAAAAATACGATTTGAAAAAATGTACAGCAATAGCTTTTACACATCGCGAAATATTCTGAAAAACATCAAATTTGGACCGATTTTACCCTATTGTTCCTATGGGAGCTATAGGATATAGACGTCCGATCGTCACGCGCTTTTACCCTGATCAAGGTACGCATAAAAAAATAAGATTTGGAAAGATTTATGTCAATAGCTTTTACACTGCGCGAAATATCCTAAAAATCATTAAATTTTAACCGATTTTACCCTGTTGTTCCTATGGGAGCTATAGGATATAGACGTCCGATCGCCACGCGCTTTTACCCTGATCAAGGTATGCATAAAAAAATACGATTTGTAAAGATTAATGTCAATAGTTTTTACACTGCGCGAAATATCATAAATTCTTGCAAGATATATCCAATTGTTCCTATGGGAGCTATAGGATATAGACGTCCGATCGGGGCGATTTTCAAACTTGATCTGCGTACACATGTTTTAGGACGATTGTGAAAGTTTCAGATCGCTAGCTTTTAAACTGAGCTCGCAAACGGTATTGAAACAGACGGACAGACGGACAGACGGACAGACGGACATGGCTATATCGACTCCCCTATTGATCCTGATCAAGAATATATATACTTTATGGGGTCGGAAACGTCTCCTTCACTGCGTTACAAACTTCTGACCAAAATTATAATACCCTCTGCAAGGGTATAAAAAGTTTTTAGAACTCGTTAAGTCGAAACTGTGAAAGTTGAAATATTTAAAATAAATTTTCTAAGATGATATTTCATATGACAAAAATTATTTTAATTACTTTTCAATAAAGGGTTAAAGCTTTAGTCGTTTTAAGCATAACTTCTCATCTGTGTTTATAACACAAGTAAAAACGAGGACGGAAGCTAACTTCGGCAAGCCGAAGTTTTAATACCCTTGCAGACTTTGCCGAAATTGCTAAAAGTGAAAAAGTAGCGAAAGGAATAAGGTATACATAAGTAAACTAGATTTGCATCGTTTCAAGTCAATTGCTTTTATACGGCAAAAATGTCATATACAAATAGAAAACAAGAAAGGAAAGCTAACTTCGGGCGGAGCCGAAGTTGATATACCCTTGCAGAATACTCTGTAAATTATATTCTCCAAAAATTATTGATATGATGCATTCTTAATACTCATAAAAAATCCCAACTTCCTAACTTTAAAAACACCAAAGTTATGGCATTTCCGATCAATCAGTTAAATGGCAGCTATAGGATATAGTCGGCCGATCCTTATGAACTTTTGTAGGTCGGATTGATTGGCCAAAAATAAAACACATAGAAAATCCCAACTTCCTAACTTAACAAACACCAAAGTTATGGCATTTCCGATTAATCAGTTATATGGCGGCTATAGGATATAGTCGGCCGATCCTTATGAAATTTGGTAAGTCGGATTGATTGGCCAAATATAAAACCGATAGAAAATCCCAACTTCCTAACTTTACAAACACTAAAGTTATGGCATTTCCGATCAATCAGTTATATGGCAGCTATAAGATATAGTCGGCCGATCCTTATGAAATTTGGTAGGTCGGATTGATTGGCCAAATATAAAACCCATAGAAAATTCCAACTTTCTAACTTTACAAACACCAAAGTTATAGCATTTCCGATCAATCAGTTATATGGCAGCTATAGGATATAGTCGGCCGATCCCGGCCGTTCCGACATATATACTGCGTGCAAAGGAAAGAAGGCTGTGTGCAAAGTTTCAACTCGATAGCTTTAAAACTGAGAGACTAGTTTGCGTAGAAACAGACAGACGGACAGACGGACATGGCTATATCAACTCAGGAGGTGATCCTGATCAAGAATATATATACTTTATAGGGTCGGAGATGTCTCCTTCACTGCGTTGCACACTTTTGACCAAAATTATAATACCCTCTGCAAGGGTATAAAAAGGGATGCTTTCGCAGCCTTTAACCATTTTTCCTATCTCCTTTAAGATATAGACTTCCGAGCGGCAAGCGCTTTTACCCTAATCAAGATATGCGTAAATAAATAAGAATTGGAAAAATGTATGTTAGTAGCTTACACACTGCGTGAAATATTCTGATAATCATCAAATTTGGACCGATTTTACCCTATTGTTCCTATGGGAGCTATAGGATATAGACGTCCGATCGGCACGCGCTTTTACCCTGATCAAGGTATGCATAAAACAAGAAAGGAAAGCTAACTTCGGGCGGAGCCGAAGTTGAAATACCCTTGCAGAATATTCTTCAAATTATATTCTCCAAAATTATTCATATGATGCATTCTTAATACTCATAAAAAATCCCAACTTCCCAACTTTAAAAACACCAAAGTTATGGCATTTCCAATCGTTCAGTTTGTATATGGCAGCTATAGAATATAGTCGGCCGATCCTTATGAAATTTGATATGTCGGATTGATTGGGTAAAAATAAAACCCATAGAAAATCCCAACTTCCTAACTTAACAAACACTAAAGCTATGGCATTTCCGATCAATCAGTTATATGGCAGCTATAAGATATAGTCGGCCGATCCTTATGAAATTTGGTAGGTCGGATTAATTGGCCAAATATAAATCCCATAGAAAATCCCAACTTCCTAACTTTACAAACACCAAAGTTATGGCATTTCCGATCAATCAGTTATATAGCAGCTATAGGATATAGTCGGCCGATCCTTATGAAATTTGGTACGTCGGATTGATTGGCCAAATATAATACCCATAGAGAGTCCCAACTTCCTAACTTAACAAACAGCAGAGTTATGGCATTTCCGATCAATCAGTTATATGGCAGCTATAGGATATAGTCGGCCGATCCCGGCCGTTCCGACTTATATACTGCGTGCAAAGGAAAGAAGGGTGTGTGCAAAGTTTCAATTCGATATCTTTAAAACTGAGAGACTAGTTGGCGTAGAAACAGACAGACGGACAGACAGACGGACAGACAGACGGACAGACAGACGGACAGACAGACGGACAGACGGACAGACGGACAGACGGACAGACGGACATGGCTATATCAACTCAGGAGGTGATCCTGATCAAGAATATATATACTTTATAGGGTCGGAGATGTCTCCTTCACTGCGTTGCACACTTTTGACCAAAATTATAATACCCTCTGCAAGGGTATAAAAATACGATTTGGAAAGATTCATGACAATAGCTTGTATACTGCGCGAAATATCCTTAAAATCATTAAATTGTAACCGATTTTACCCTTTTGTTCCTATGGGAGCTATAGGATATAGACGCCCGATCGTCACGCGCTTTTACCCTGATCAAGGTACGCATAAAAAAATAAGATTTGGAAAGATTTATGTCAATAGCTTTTACACTGCGCGAAATATCTTCTATTCTTGCAAGTTATATCCGATTGTTCCTATGGGAGCTATAGGATATAGACATCCGAACGGGGCGGTTTTCAAACTTGATCTGCGTACACTTGTTTTAGGACGACTGTGAAAGTTTCAGATCGCTAGCTTTTATACTGAGCTCGCAAACGGTATTGAAACAGACGGACAGACGGACGGACGGACAGACGGACATGGCTATATCGACTCCCCTATTGATCCTGATCAAGAATATATATACTTTATAGGGTCGGAAACGTCTCCTTCACTGCGTTACAAACTCCTGACCAAAATTATAATACCCTCTGCAAGGGTATAAAAATAAAATAAGAAAGATGTCGGCAGCTGAAATTGAACTTGTGGTGCTTAGATTTCTGGTCAGACGTTTAGAACAATTTTATGGTCATTTTAGAACATGTTTCCTATGTTATAGAAAATATTTCTATATTTTGGGATTAATTTTTATTTTTTAGATAATATTTCTATATTTAGGAAAATATTTCTATATTTAAGAAAGCGTTTCTATTTTTTAGGGTTATCGAATTTTTAAGGTTAATTTGAGAAAAAATTTTTAATTTTTACGGTAAATAATTTTTTAGGGCAGAATTCCTAATTTTAAGAAAAAAATTTCTAAAAACAAGTACCATTTTTACTAAAATATATTTATATTTTTACTAAAATTTCTACATTAGAGAAACACTTTCTTGATTCAAGAAAAGTTTTGTTGTTTTGAGAAAAAAATTCCTTGAAAATAGAAATCTTTTCTTGGATTAAGAAAAAAAAGTTTTATGACGAATTTCTAAAATTTATGGTTAATTTTGCTATGAGTGTAGGCGGACGGCTATCCTCAGTGCTAACAATAATGACTATACAACGCTCTTACGCTTTTGTTCACTGGTAGCTGCTTGAAATAAGTGTTTAGAGGCAGAAATCGATTTCTGCATCGGGACCGTGCCTCTAGGACAACAAGACCCTACCTTTCAGGGGCCGACTGCGCAGTGCGACTACTCACCTGTGTGCAAGCGCGTGTGCTGCTGGACATGCGACAGCTGCTTAAATCTACGATCACAGTAGGAGCACTTGTAGGGCTTCTCTCCGGTGTGCACGCGGATGTGCTGCACGAGCTGGTGGTTACTGGAGAAGCTCTTCATGCACTGCTGGCACTGGTGCGGCTTGGTGTCCGAGCCAGGCGTGATGCTGCCGCCCAAGGCGGCCGAGCCGGCCACGCCGTGGGTTCCTAGGCCGACGCGGGGAATCTGCTGCTGTATTTGCTGCATCGCGCTTTTGTGCATGAAGAGCTGCAAGTGCAAACAACACGTTAAAACGGTGCAAAGTAGTTTAACAAACAGATATGCAATGAACTCTTGGCCGTAGGCAGTGTACACTTCAAACCCGCGAACCCATTGATTCATTAACTTCGGGTCTTACTGTCAGTACGTCTGTCCCGACCAGTTATATTTATAGACTTTTTTCTTCACCCGTTGTGCCAGTTTTGGATGTTTTTTATGAGTTTATTTTAAAAATGTGTACCGTTGCATGTCGTACAACCGAAAAACATGTCAGCGAAATCAGAACTTTTTGTGAAGAGTCACAAATTAAAATTATTTAATGTAAATAAACAATTATGTGTATGGTGAGGGTAAAGTTTTTAGATGCGAATAAGCTGCTTACTCACATTGTGAGGTCATCATTCGTTTTGCTGATTTTTGATAAAATATCATTGGGGCCAAAACCACACCATAAGTAAGATTGAACATGAAAAATGCACAATACATTTCTCTCTTTTCGACTATCCACCAAGCATAGCTATTAAATATATATATTTCAAAATGTGATTTGGTCAAGCCGATGAATTTTCCCATGCACCTATTTTTATTAAGTTGCGAAGGGAGGTTGCGGCTCTGCCAAAATTAGTAGAACAAAATTTAGAGAACTTAAAAATTAATTATAATGGAATAAACAAGAAAGGAAAGCTAACTTCGGGCGGAGCCGAAGTTGAAATACCCTTGCAGAATATTCTGTAAATTATATTCTCCAAAATTATTCATATGATGCATTCTTAACACTCATAAAAATCCCAACTTCCTAACTTTAAAAACACCAAAGCTATGGCATTTCCAATCGTTTAGTTATATGGCAGCTATAGAATATAGTCGGCCGATCCATATGAAATTTGGTAGGTCGGATTAATTGGCCAAAAATAAAACCCATAGGAAATCCCAACTTTCTAACTTTACAAACACCAAAGTTATGGCATTTCCGATCAATCAGTTATATGGCAGCTATAGGATATAGTCGGCCGATCCTTATGAAATTTGGTAGGTCGGATTGATTGGCCAAATATAAAACCCATAGAAAATCCCAACTTCCTAACTTTACAAACACCAAAGTTATGGCATTTCCGATCAATCAGTTATATAGCGGCTATAGGATATAGTCGCCCGATACTTATGAAATTTGGTAGGTCGGATAAATTGGCCAAATATAAAATCCATAAAAAAATCCAACTTCCTAACCTTACAAATACCAAAGTTATGGCATTTCCGATCAATCAGTTATATGGCAGCTATAGGATATAGTCGGCCAATCCTTATGAAATTTGGTAAGTCGGATTGATTGGCCAAATATAAATCCCATAGAAAATCCCAACTTCCTAACTTTACAAACACCAAAGTTATGGCATTTCCGATCGTTCAGTTATATGGCAGCTATAGGATATAGTCGGCCGATCCCGGCCATTCCGACTTATATACTGCGTGCAAAGGAAAGAAGGGTGTGTGCAAAGTTTCAATTCGATATCTTTAAAACTGAGAGACTAGTTCGCGTAGAAACAGACAGACGGACAGACAGACGGACAGACGGACAGACGGACAGACGGACATGGCTATATCAACTCAGGAGGTGATCCTGATCAAGAATATATATACTTTATAGGGTCGGAGATGTCTCCTTCACTGCGTTGCACACTTTTGACCAAAATTATAATACCCTCTGCAAGGGTATAAATATAGCAAATAATTATATTGGAATATAGATATATATATAAAATTATTTCTTGTTTTCTCCAAAGAAGATTCGTATTTGTATACCCTTGTAGATAAGAAGGATTTAGTCAAAAGTATGCAACGTATGAAGGAGACATTTCCGACCCTTTAAATTATATATATTCTTGATCAGCATCACTAAAGGAGTTGATCTAGTCATGCAAGTCATGCCAGCGTGAATTACCTTTAATCATTTTTGTAATATTTATAAAATATAGTTTTAAGTTTTAGAGGACCAATGAAGTCGGGTCTCAATCTATTTAACATATTTAAAAATAAAATATTAAAAATAAATATAAATATTTTATAGCCGGTTGCAAGGGAAAACATCAAGAATATTTAAAGAGTGGTGATTGTTAGTTTTTTAGTCATGTGATATGCACGTCTTTCGTAACTCGTCAAAAGTGGTTTTGTTTTGTATTTCAACACCTAATTAATAACGAGGACTGAAGCTAACTTTGGCAAGCCGAAGTTTTAATACTCTTGGACTCTTTGCCGAAATTGCTAAAATTGCAAAAGTAGCGAGAAGAATAATAAAAGTGTAAAATAAACTCGAAGTCTTCTTAATACAAATGCCAAAGAACAAATATGCCAAAAACTGTATCGGGAGTCACCACACTCCCTCAAGAAGATGACCCTTCTAATTGCGTGCCCCCATTGAGAAAGAAAATATAAGTCAACGAGGGGAAGCTAACTTCGGCGAGCCAAAGTTTTAATACCGTTGCAGACTTTGACGAAATTGCTAAAAATTTAAAAAGTAGCGAAAAGAATAAGGTATACATAAATAAATTAGATATATATATATACTTTATGGGGTCGGAAACGTCTCCTTCACTGCGTTACAAACTTCTGATTAAAATTATTATACCTTTTGAAAGGGTATTAAATGCCAGCCCAGCTCTTTATGCGCGAAAATGTAAATAATCTTATTCTGTAACCAAATATATTCATTTCGATTTCATTTCATTTGCATCCTCGGCTTAAGTTTCTTAAATAAAAAAACATTTACCAATCTTGGCAACGTCTTGGCCACTAAAACTACACCTACAAATTGATATCTGTTTTCATACAAAAGTTATTTAATTTCTCAAAAGATTGTTGAACTAGACAAGAAGTAAATATATTCTTGATTAGCACCACAATGCGATTAATTCTATTAATTAATTTCTAGCCATGTCAGTCTGTTTTTTCATTTTTACGAAAACTGATCTCTTAGCATTACAGTTATCTGGATCAAAAATATTTTCTGATGTAAGTATCTAATAGGTGGACCATATCATATAGCTGTCATAGGAACAGTCGAAAAAACAATTGAGCAAAATAATGCTTCGTTGTTTTTAAGCATGCACTACTAGATACAGCATTGTTTTAAATTTAAAATAAATTCGTTGTTTAAAATAATCATATAACTTTCATAACCGATTGATGCAGTTGTTGGAAAACTTAAATAGCTACGCTGTATTTTAACATAAACTCATAAAAATCGATATAGTCTATGTATAAACATCACCGTGCTTTCTATCTAGTTTATCTTGTTGTTTTGGTTGATTGAATTATTTATTACTAATTCAGACTTCAAGAGATGTTGATAAAGTAGATCAAATTAAATATCAATTGTGAGGAGTAGACTACTACTGTATAGCTGCAGAATTGAAAACTGAGTGAATTACTGCTTTAATGAAGAGGATTGCATATCAAGACTTTAATAAAATCAAATACGCATCGAATGGCTTCGAACTTGCTGCACTAAATTCATTTTTGTTGGGGATTTCCATCCATTATTATAACCGTTTACACGTTTCTACGCAAACTATAAGCTATCTGCTTGAAACTCTCCTAAAAGTTGTCTTTTTATTGCAGGTAGTATATAAGTCGGAACGAGCTGGATCGAGAGACTATGTCATATAGCTCCCATAGGAACAATCAGAAAAAAAAGTTTTAAAAATAACTTTGTTGATTTACATTTTTTTTGTTTTTTCTTTGGCATTTAATATTTTAATACTACAGAATTAAAGTTTTTATTAAATTAAAATCGGACATCTATATCATATAGCTCCCATAGGAAACAAATTTTTATTTTGCTTTTTTTCCATTAATCAAAATATTCCTTTGAGATATAGTATTAATTTACTATATCAAAATTACGCTTTTATTTTTGTCAAAATCGGACAACAATATCATATAGCTGACATGGAAACGATGGCAAAATGCAGCGCAAAATCGTCATAGCTTCATTGTTTTTAGTAATATAGGCATAGAAATAGAAATGTTGTCGTTTTGTATATAAACTTCGGCTTCTAAGGAACCCTCTACTCTAAGTCACAGGCACTTGAAAGTATTGACAAAGGTGCACCCAAAGTTCATTTCGGGAAGCTGGCAACGCTATGTTATTTTTATACCCTTGCAGAGGGTATTATAATTTTGGTCAAAAGTGTGCAACGCAGTGAAGGAGACGTCTCCGACCCTATAAAGTATATATATTCTTGATCAGGATCACCTCCTGAGTTGATATAGCGATGTCCGTCTGTCCGTCTGTCTGTTTCTACGCAAACTAGTCTCTCAGTTTTAAAGCTATCAAATTGAAACTTTGCACACACCCTTCTTTCCTTTGCACGCAGTATATATGTCGGAACGGCCGGGATCAGCCGACTATATCCTATAGCTGCCATATAACTTATTGATCGGAAATGCAATAACTTTGGTGTTTGTAAAGTTAGAAAGTTGGGATTTTCTATGGGTTTTATATTTGGCCAATTAATCCCACCTACCAAATTTCAAAAGGATCGGCCGACTATATCTTATAGCTGCCATATAACTGATTGATCGGAAATGCCATAACTTTAGTGTTTGTTAAGTTAGGAAGTTGGGATTTTCTATGGGTTTTATTTTTGCCCAATCAATCCGACATATCAAATTTCATAAGGATCTAGGATCTGCAAGGGTATATCAACTTCGGCTCCGCCCGAACTTAGCTTTCCTTTCTTGTTTCGGTATTTTTTGTCGATTGTTTTCCTTTCTCTCTCTCTTATAGCTGACGTCGATCTGAGTACTTGACTCAAATGCCTGGAGGTACATATTGTTAAAAATATTTTTTTTTACTTTTTCTTGGCATTATTTCTCAAATTAATAACAACGAAATTATAGCTAAAGTTAGTTTCTGAGTTCACGTTCTATCAATTTTTATTAAAACGCGGTTTGCGATTTCTTTCTCGAGTTCTTGAGTTCTTATAATTCTTGATATATAACATTTTTATCTCTAAACACTTACGGTTGGTAATTATTTAGCGTTACAATTCAAATAAAGTTCTTGTATCAACAACATCTAGTTACGTATAAAAGTCTGAACTAACTTTATCATCCAAAATTTCGCACAATAAATTACTCATAAAAAATCCCAACTTCCTAACTTTACAAACACCAAAGTTATGGCATTTCCGATCAATCAGATATATGGCGGCTATAGGATATAGTCGGCCGATCCCGGCTGTTCCGACTTATATACTGCGTGCAAAGGAACGAAGGGTGTTTGCGTAGAAACAGAGAGACGGACATGCTTATATCGACTCAGGAGGTGATCCTGATCAAGAATATATATACTTTATAGGGTCGGAGATGTCTTTACTGCCTTGCACACTTTTGACCAAAATTATAATACCCTCGGCAAGGGTATAAAAAAACGTTCTGCTGCCCGCGCAAAAAAATTTTATATATTATATTTTATATTATATTATATATAGATTATAGTATTGTTCAGAAAATACCACAACACCATACAAATTTATTATTTCAGGTACAGGTCCGGAGTTTCAGATGTCCCACCAGATCATCAATGTTTATCAGCCTCACACTTCTTTTAATTCGGCGTAGGTGGTTTCCAAAAATTAGAACATATACTTCAATATAGGAATAAAAAATTGTCAATGCTTAAATAAATTTGAACTACAATTTGTTTATCCTAAGCTCCCTTGACATGCTTGCTTCTCAGAACGTATTGGTCACCTTATCTCAAGCAAGTCTTTCAGTTCTAAAACCCGCAAGGTTAATTATATAAATGTATAACTTGCTTGGCAATGTTTTTTTAAAAAAATTCTGTCCCTTTTTTGTGCTCTCTTGTGTATTACTATCAGTGAAACTTAGTACCAGTGATACTAACTATCACATGCTTCTTTTTGTTTTTCTGAAGAAGTAATGGAGATTGATAAAAATATTCGCAAAAAAGAACAGATGTAGGTGCATTGTGGAAGCAGGGGAAAAGGCGAGGCAATTTCGTGTAGCTCTCTGGTTGGTTGTCGGCCAAGCGACGGTTGATTCCACTGGTAGCTGCTTCAGCAACCTTCCATCGTATCGCCACTCGGCTTTGTCCGAGACAGACTGCACTTTTTATTTACTTGGTCCTGGTAGGTATGGTATGTGGATGGCTGGGGCCCGACTACAGCCGTCTTTCTTTGTCCGTTACCCTCAGACTTGGAATCGCGAAAAAAATCAAATAACACCACAGGCCCAACTGTCGACGTGTCCAGCCAGATTCGGCCAACAGCAGTTGCGAATTGTCGGCAAATGGGATTGCGATGAAATAACAGGTCCAGCACAGACGTTTTAGGGACAGCACAAGGCGTGTCTCAGCCTGTGGCCGTTTATACGAGACTAGCAATGGAGGTAAAATTCAGCAACTAGATGACATTTTGAAATTTAAGTGGATAAGTGGAGCATGATGCAACATTTTTTAGTGACTACTAAATTGTCAAAAACTACGTCTTTAATCCAATATTCCCATAACAGCTATCGTTAAGGAAGGCAATGTTTAAGATAGAAAATATTAAATACTACAAAATATTTTGGTAAACTGAAGGTTTTTCTGTGACAATACAATTTGCTACATTGTTACAATAATTAATCTGCCGCACAAAATTATGCAATAAAAAGAAGTGCTGTATATTTTATAGCAGGGACACATAAGCTTTTATAAACATTTTATATCTTCTTTAAAGACTGCATTATATTAAGGCGTTGATCAGAGTTTGAGTGACGTTGAACTAAAACTATTAATATATAATAATTAGTTTTCAATTATAGTTCAAATATCAACAAATGAACTAAATTAATAAATTTTATTTACATTTTATTTATTTACGGAGAGGAAAAATATGAAAAGGGCGAAAGAGAGAGAAAATAGAGAGCGATGAAGAGAGCGCGCTTAGATAGTCACAATGAACTTCATACATGCATTTTTCTACTTGGTTCCCCTTTTTAAGCCCTGCCATCCTCGCTCGTTTCGTTTTTGTTTTTGTCTTGCCTCGCCTCGCCCTCTATTCCCTCCGCCAATACTCGACCCCTAGCACCAAGGGACGCAAACTCGGAGAGGGATGGACTTAGGTCCGCCGGACGCTTCTTTCACTCTATCTTAGGGGTAGCAGGAGGCGGCAACCATCGCTATCGCTTCTTTTCGCTTTGCTCGGCGTGTGGTCGAGGTGAGTGAAATAAAAATGGTCGAAAAAAACGTGAGGGGTGGACAAATGAGTTCGTTCGGCTGGGTGCGAGTTCGCTTGTTCGTGTGTAAGCGGCGCACACACACGTGTAAAAGTATATATCCAAACATATCCACATAAATAAGGACTTGCGAATGTGCTTGTCTGCGCCTTAACCGTCGAAGACAAAACATTCGAGAGAAGGTCAAACGTTCAGAACGCCGGACTCCTCTAAAATATGGAGAAGTCGTTGTTGTCTATTATGTTTTCTACACCATTTTTCGAAAGTTTTTTTTTGTGAATAAATGTTTTAATAAAATATATGTAGATATGGTTTATTCAAAGGGCGTCGCACCACAAGTTAGTAAGGGTGGCTTTTACCCAAAAAGCAATAGATAAATCACCCATTTTTGAAACACTAAGTTTTTAGAAAAAAAGCTCTCCTGACTATTCATACCTACTTTGTAAACACCCCATTTAGTAAATATTCCCAATGAATCAAAACATTTCAAATGATACCGAAAGCACTTTTTATCTGGTAACTAAACGGATAAAAATAGATAAACGAATCACTTGTCGCCACTGGGCAATAGATCGTCAGAGATATCATTAACGACGACTTTATAATTCTTTTGCCAAACTACAAAAATTTATCTTTCAAGTTTTGGCTCGAAACTAAGTCCGTTTTTGACTATAAAATAAGCTTTAAATGGTTGTTCGATTTTTTACAAATGTAACCTCCTCTTCGTCCTCAATTTGTATACCCTTGCAGAGGGTATTATAGGAAAAGAAGAGTAGGTCTAGCCATGTCCGTTTGTCCGTCCGTCTTTCCATCCGTTTCTACGCAGACTAGTCCCTCAGTTTTAAAGCTATCTTTCCATTGCAGGTAGTATATATGTCGGAATGAGCCGAATCGGGCGACTATATCATATAGCTCCCATAGGACCAATCGGAAAAAAATAAAAATAAAAGAAAAAGTATAACTTTGTTGTTTTTAATACAAAATGGCTAAATGCAGCGCAAAATCGACATAGCTTCATTGTTTTTAGTAGCATAGGCATAGAAATCAAAATGTAGTCGTTTTGTAATAACTGCAAGGTATATACCCTTCAGATTGCCGAAGTTTGCTTCCTTTCTTGTTTTCTATCGCTTATCTTCCCTTACCGACTGTCCGTCCCTTTATCCGTCCGTCCCTTTATCCGTCCGTCAGTCCATCCTTCCGACTGCCCTTCCGTCAGGTAATATATTCGTAGGATCAGGCCGGATCGGCTGCCATAGGAACGATCGAAAAATGTATCGAAAATCGGCATTGCTTCATTGATGTTAAACAATATTTCATTTTTGTAATATTGTTAAAATAAACGTTAACCTAATGACTTTTTGTATAATTAGAAAGGATAAATTCAATCATTATTTCAGTCAATTTCAAAAATCCGTATTTTAGGAAACTTAAAAGGAAATTATTGTACTTTCACTTATCCTAACCTTGTTTTAACGCAATACGATTATAGAAAATCAATAGAATTATTTATAAAGAAAAATTAAAAGTGGGCCATGCTCTTCTAAAAAATTCGACTTTTTCAATTTTTTTTTTTTTGAAACTTAAGAGTAGGCGCTTTGCTATGATTTTAAAACATCTTGGAAATGATCGATTTATATCTCTAATCTGGGGAGCACCTTACTAACAGTATTTAATCCTCATAAGAAACTACTGTGGTCAAATCACAACGATGATTCATAAGCGCTTGTCGTTTAGTCAACAGTAATCAAATCCATATAGTGATTGATTTAGCTTCAATCTTGACATTGCACTAACAACAACACTGCCTTACTAGCTAGTTGTGAAAATTGTAATTAATAAACATAAGATGTCACTTTTAAATGAAAATGTTCAAATTGTCTAAGACTGGCCCAAACCAAATGATCAAATTTGAGAAAATTAAATAAAACATTGCATAATTTTACAGATACACAATTTAATTTATAAATTCTTTTTTCTCCTTACATGTTTAAAAGAATGAAAAGGTTGATACATAATATATACTTTGTTTATACGTCCAGTTTATTCGCACAGAAGAGTTACTGATGCATAAAATTGAGCCATTCAACAGCTGGCTTTATATATATTTATTTGCAGTATTAGCAATTAAAAAAAAAAATCAGTGTTTTTTGTTTTCAGATAAAGTGTGCGTATAAACTGAGTAATAGTACACTAAAAGTAAAATAAATATTAAGGTTAAATTAAACAAAAACAAATAACTGGAAGTAATTTTAAGCATAAATTTCGCTATAAAAAAACTGATAGTGATCAATTACTGGGTCCTTGGAAAGCGCTTCATGGTTCGGGTAAGTTTTTCTAAATGCATGGATGTACGTAGGTACATCTGCGTACAGTTGCATGTTATTTGTGCGTAAAGTGTTGGGGGATGTGCTGTGCTGCGCTGCAGCTGTGTACTTGTGTCTTTTACGAGGAAGAGTACTATACACAACGGAACAGATGCCAACTCACTCGTTGCAGGGTTGACCAACATTCTTCAAGGGTGCGTTCACTGATCGCGGCTGCGCTGCTCGACCGGGAAAGCTGAAGCTGGAAAACAGTCGAAGGGATACATTGTTAGTTAGAAATAAGACTGACCACATTCGTTTCTTATATACTGCGAAATTAGATGTGAAATTTGAAATTGCGATCCAACTTGACTGATGGCAGCGAGAAAATGAGTGACTTAAGCAGTGTTTTGGAAATTATTTATTATTCCTATTTTTATTATTATTGATGTATGCTACTACTAAGTTTGGACCAAATTCGTTATCTAAATAATTGGTTTCCAATTAAGACTTAATGACTTATTTTTATCTAGGTCAACAACACTTTACCTTCCCCAACACTTGCCAAAAGTCGAAAATTACGTTTTTGTACAAGCTTTTATGCCCTGGTATTATTATTTAGTCAAAACCTTGCCCAAAAGTGAGGGAGACGTTTCCGACCCTGGAAAGTAGATGCATTCTTGATCATTCTTGATCAGCATCCCCAGGAGAGTCGATCTAGCCACGTTTGCCTGTCCTTTTCTCCGCAAAACTGGTCTGCCAATTTAAGAACTATATTCCCAAAAGTCTTAATTGTATTGCAGTTATTAAATAAGTCGGACTACTGTATTATATAGCTCCCATAGAAACAATCAGAAAAGTGAATGAAAAATAATCATAGCTTTCATGTTTTTTCACACATACAAATAACTGTGAGATAATTTTGAACGATTACAGAACAATGGTTTTATTTTATAATATCATATAGCTGCCATCGAAAAATGTATAGGAAAAGCGACATATCTTCATTGTTTTAAAAAACAATATTTAATCCGGTTTGCCGAAGTTTGCTATCTTTCTTGTATATATATGTTGTGTATTTATTTTTAAAATTGTATTGTGAAAAGTTCAAAATCTTCTTTATAAAGTGCAATTGAAAGATATCTTCAATGTTATTTATTACTACTACATTCAAATTTTGTTGAAAAAAATAAATACCACCGTCAAATCCGCTTAACTGATATACTTTAGCTAACATATCGGAAATATTCAGAAATAAGTCATTAATTTGTCTATCGTCTATTTAATACATTTTTAAAAGATACTGTGTAATTAAATATTCTGTAATGTCCCTTGCTGCAATGATTATTTATTAAAACAAATATTTATATTAAAATCAAACATTTTGAAAAGTGATAATGAAAAATTACATCGTGCTCCTTTTCACAGTCAAGTGTCATTGTATTTACGATAACGATCTAGATAACCGATCGTGAAACGAAACAAATCGGAACGAATACAACACAGTTCCCTTGCGGTGTAAATTTTCGTATTTTAATTATTATTTCGGCGACTTATTTTCTTGTTCATGTCTTTGATTTTGAAATTTGCGAACTGTGCGGCACTTCTATATCATGTAGGGCGGATTCCTGCATCGGTTAGTTGCACGAACGACGCAATCCCATCAGCTGCCTTCAGCATTGAAGGAAGCCTCTCCATCTTTACTTTGTGGATCGGAAGACTTTCGATGTTAGAAAAACTCTAATAATAGGTATGCATTTTAACCGCGACTGTCTTCAATGAATGCAGATTAATGGTGGTCTTGTTCTTTAAAATTACTTGGTTTCGCGACTACGAAAATAGCTGGTGCACGGACGAACTGATTTTAGTTTCGTTAGATTATTTAGTTACGCGAGGCAGACCGGGGCACACAACCTTTCGGTCTGATGTCCTTTGAACTTCTGCCGGTTCGGCGAATTATCATCAGCAAACGGGACATTGCGTGAGTGCCAGGGGGTTCTTCTTAAACTATCCTGTTTTTGCGGCGTCGTCGTCGTCGTCGACGACGACGTCTCTGTCGCTGCCGCAGTTGAGCTTCTAATTCGGCATCTCTTTCTCTATGCGTTATTATTGTTTTCTTGAAGAAATAAGCACGGACGGAGTTATACAAACGACGGAAAGAAAAAGCTCCCGAAAGAATGGCATCTTGCGCTCTCTTTTCTCTTTTCCTAATGCATAGAGAGTGTTTGTGGGTTGCGGGAAGGAGGGACAAGTCCAGTAAAAACAAAAATTATGGCAGAGTTTACGTCTGGCCTAGGAACAGTGAACTGTCTTGTTTATATGTGTATGTGTGTTATTAAACTGAACCTGAACTTGCATCCCCGTTTCGGCTCATAACATACTGTATACGTGAGCTGAGGTGAAGAATCTTTCACACCAACAAACACACTTGCTCATGGAAGGAACAGCAAGAAAGAAAGAACTCGACAATGGGGGTTACTTCAAGAAAAAGCAGAGCTAAAAACTAAGCAAAGGATAAGACTGCTCCTGGTCCGTCCCTCTCTTTTTCTCTTACGCTTTCGGGCCGTCGCTCTCCCTTTCTCTCCCTCGCTCTCACTCCCTTCCAACCGACAACTTATCGCCTCATGCTCTCCCCTCCCCTAACGTTAGTAATTTGACAAACCCTCACCCCCTTCATTTTTCATTACCCCTCACTAATTTCCAAGCCTCTTTCTCGGGCCAGGCGGGACTTTAAGGTGCAGAGAGAGGTTTAGATGGGCACAGGAATAAGCGATACCTACAGAGAAGGGCTGTCGTCAGAGCTAGTTAAACGCCAAGAAAACTGGCGCAGGACTCAGGCTTCAAAGACCATGTGCAAAGCAGCTACTTGAGAGTTGAGTAAGTGGTCGAAATTTACCCCTTTGAACTGGAACGAAATGGAGCTTTCAAAATTTCCCTCGTGTAAGAGGGGTTGTTATAGGGATGTTTTAATATACTCTTAAAACCAAAAGCGCACAGATTTAAGAGAAAGAAATGGAGAGTCCTTGGATCAAATACAAATTATTTGAATAATAACATTAATGGAAAGAGAAAAAAATCATTGAACCCGCTCTCTTCAAGAAAAAATATCAGTGGTCCGAAACGAGTTCACTTTGAAACTTTTGGATAAAAATGAACAGACCAAAACTTTCAAGGCCGTTGACACATACATAGTCCGATTTACTGGTCTGATAAAGAGACATACTTAAACATTAAGTCCGCAGAATTATCAAATCTTTTACATTTATTTTAATATTAATTCCGTTTTTTATTAATAAAAGATTAATAAAAGGATAAGCTCTTAGGATCTGAACGAAAAAAAAATTATAACTCTCACTCTCTAAAGCTTCCTTTTGCGTGGAAGTGAAAAAGTTTGGAAGACGGCCGATTCGTAAAAATTATATAAATTCCTATCCAGCATGTCATGTTGGTCAGCTGCCTGTCCGTCCTTACCAAATGAATGTCTAAGAGCTAGGGAAATTCAATTTTAAAGGTGCGAGTTGTGCTACAAAAACTCAACCACTTTACCATTTTTTATTCAAGTTATTTCATATTTAAGCATTGCTTGTGCAGCTGGTCAAATGTTCTTTGTAAAAATAGGTGATTGCGATTTCGCTCATTCATCAGGAGCGTTTTTACCCTAGATAGCTTTGACCTTAATATTACTTCACCATTTTTTAATTGGCTTAATTTTGCGATCTGTCCACTTGGCACTGAGCCCATTTAGCCAGCTTAAGGTCAAGTATTGGCCTAGACTCAAAGCAAATCTAAGGTGCGAATTTATTGCAACACTTACAAAACGAGGGACGAGGCGTCGACGACCATACATGTTTCATTAGATACGGTATCGGTATTATCATTTTAAGTTTACATTAGAATTTAATATATATCTTTAACATTTTCGGTATGATAACATAATATTAATAATATTTCGGTAACATAATATTAATAATATAACATAATATTAATAAATAGTTTCATTTCCTTCAACGTCTTAAAAGTGATAAGAATATTGATAAACGAGGACGGAAGCTAACTTCGGCAAGCCGAAGTTTTAATACCCTTGCAGACTTTGCCGAAATTGCTAAAAGTGAAAAAGTAGCGAAAGGAATAAGGTATACATAAGTAAACTAGATTTGCATCGTTTCAAGTTAATTGCTTTTATACTGCAAAAATGTCATATACAAATAGAAAAAAAGGGATACTTTCGCAGCCTTAAACAATTTTTCCTATTTCCTTTAAGATATAGACTTCCGAGCGGCAAGCGCTTTTACCCTAATCAAGATATGCGTAAATGAATAAGAATTGGAAAAATTTATGATAGTAGTATTGATAATCATCAAATTTGGACCGATTTTACCCTATTGTTCCTATGGGAGCTATAGGATATAGACGTCCGATCGGCACGCGCTTTCACCTTGATCAATGTATGCATAAAAAAATACAATTTAGAAAGATTCATGTCAATAGCTTGTATACTGCGCGAAATATCCTTAAAATCATTAAATATTAACTGATTTTACCCTTTTGTTCCTATGGGAGCTATAGGATATAGGCGTCCGATCGCCACGCGCTTTTACCCTGATCAAGGTATGCATAAAAAAATACGATTTGGAAAGATTCATGTCAATAGCTTTTACACTGCGCGAAATATCTTCCATTCTTGCAAGTTATATCCGATTGTTCCTATGGGAGCTATAGGATATAGACATCCGATCGGGGCGGTTTTCAAACTTGATCTGCGTGCACTTGTTTTAGGACGAGTGTGAAAGTTTCAGATCGCTAGCTTTTAAACTGAGCTCGCAAACGGTATTGAAACAGACGGACAGACGGACAGACGGACATGGCTATATCGACTCCCCTATTGATCCTGATCAAGAATATATATACTTTATAGGGTCGGAAACGTCTCCTTCACTGCGTTACAAACTTCTCACCAAAATTATAATACCCTCTGCAAGGGTATAAAAAACCAAAAGTAATAAATTACAAAAAAAACATATTCAAAAACAAATGACCCATTTCAATCAGACATTTTAAATTTATATTAAATTTAAAAACAAATCAAATTTGACAAATTTTATATTAAATTGAATTTAAATTTTAAATTTTAATTAAACTTGAATTATCGAAGACATTGCAGCCCACAAATCAAACTGAAATTGTTCAAAGAAAAAACCCAAGTAAACATTCTTTTCCAAGATACTCTGTTTTTCGAACTGCTCTAACTATCCCTGTCTCACTCTACCTGCACATCTTTAGAATAGTTGTCTGGTGGCGACATAAGCCACAAACACTTTTTGAAACAGAACAAATCGATTTTACCTGAATTTCACTGGCCATTTTGTCGTTGTTGAATTTAATGTCGGGCGTCGTGCTGCCGCCGGAAGGCGTCGAGGAGTGCTGAGGAGACTGCTGGCCCAGCGACAAGGTCTTGTTGCTCATCGTTGGTCCAGGCCTGGGTCCTGCTCCCGTTCCCGTTCCTGTTCCTGTTCCCGAGCTCGAACTGCCACCTATCCGCGGGGACATTGGCTTTCCCTGCGGCGTCTGCAGGCCCCTTCCTCCCATCGCCTGCTGCTGGGCCTGCGGAGTGGACAAGGACTCGTCGGCGGATCCCATGGCCAGGACACGGCCCTCGGCTTCGGCGGCCTCCGTCGCAGGCGCCTCGCCCACGTCGTAGAAGTCCCCGGCGTAGGAGGGCTGGGGCTGCGCCTGCGCCTGCGCCAGCGGCTGGCGGCCGTCGTCCAGTGGCTTGGCGTCCATTTCCTGCTTGGGCTTGATCCCGCAGAGGGCGTTCAGGGAGCTGTGGCCGTAGGTGCGGAGGGCCCCCTGCGCCTGGTCTCCCATCGGGGAGAGGTTGTTTTGCATGGCCGTGGACTTGAGGTGGGCAGCCGCGGCGGCTGCTGCGGCCGCGTTGAACAGCAGGTGATGGCTGCTCAGCTGGGGCGACTGCGTGCCCCGGAAGGAGTCGCCGTAGGACTGCTGCTCCGAGTGCTGCTGCAGGATGTGGCTGGACTCGACCTTGTTGCTCAGCGGGGCGAGGGGGTTGCTGCTGTTCACTGGACCGGAGCCGGGGACTGGGCCTCCTGGGTGGACGTCGGCCAGGAGCTCGTGCTCCTGCGGCATGGAGTGGTGCAGGGTGTGATGGGCAGCTTGCTGTTGGTTCGGGGGCGAGTTGTACTGATGAAGCGTCGTTTGCAGGCCGAATGGGGCTCGCGCCTGCTGCCAGAAGTCCGCGGCGTCCATCTTAAACATTCGAAGCAAGTTCTCCGGGAGGCGGCCAATACGTTTTTCCCAGGTAACTGGGACTGGCCGATCGGTCCGACCTTTGCTTTCGATCCTGCACTCAGATCTGGGCTGCCAACTGCGAATGGTTTGGGCCTGGCTAAAGCATCTTAATTTCATATCATGTCACTTCCTGTGAAATAAAAGAAATCGTTCTAACTACGAATTCTACGCTTACACAGCAAATCACTAAAATCGATTAAAACAAACAGAGACGTCTTTTCTTTTCTTGTGTACTCTTGCAGAGGAAAATATAAATATATATCCAAGCCCAACAATGTAATTAGAAACTAATAAAATTAGTAACTGGGAATATAAAATAAAAAGCGTTTAGAAACAGCCCGACTTGGAGATGCTCTTTTACAACCTGCTCAAGCTGTTAAGTTTCGCAATAATTATAAATATATCTTTTACTTTTATAAAAAAAAAAAAAAGATGCTCTTATCTTAGTTAGGTGTTGCGTAATGTTAAGAATAATAATATTTGATTGATGCAACCACAATGGTCCAATTTAACCAAACTTATTTGTCTTCCATGGAGACCGAGCTCTAAAACTTATTTTTCAATGAATATATATAAATTAACTCTACTAGTAACAGGTAAAAACAACAACACAAATCGTTTGTGGGGTGGAACCGTCGTTGATTCGTACTGGAAATTTATTTAGGTGAATATATAAAAGCACAATCTATTAAAAAATTGATTAAAAAAACATCACCTAGTAAAGTTTTAATATATAGTCGCATAAAAAGGTCAATAAACCATTTATATTAATATGAGTTTAAAGTTTCTTTAACAATTGTCCATTCAAAAAAATTGGTTTAAAAATAGGGATAGAACTGTTACAAACTGAATAAGCTTAACAAAAAAATAAACATATATGACTTGAGTCCTAATTTTGGAGAAAAACAATCTAAGATCAATATAATTGTCCTGAAATCATTTATAAAAGCATTATAATTTCCGTAAAATATTACTCTATGACGCATCAATAGACTGAAATGTTACCTTTCCCATTAATCTGAAATAAATGCAAATAAATATCGCTAACGTTTTTTAATAAAATGTAATATTGAGAGTGATAAAAAAAATGAATTTATTAAATCATGAACAAAAAAATTCTTCGAAAATGCATTGCAATAAAAAACAAGAGAGAACGCTATAGTCGAGTGCCTCGACTATTAGATACCCGTTACTCAGCTAAACAACTTAATATAAATATGGTTCTTGTATGTTTTTCGCCGCTCGAATTAGCACCTTGGCCAGCTGTTCCAAAGTCATCCGTTAGATGGCGCTGCCGTGGTACCACGGGCCATGAAAGGCGGAAATGTAGGCGCTAGCCAGGTTTAAGCGTTTAATGGGTTTTTGGGCGTTAGAGTGGGCGTGGCAAACTTTTATTAGGCCAATCGATAGGTATTGACGAAATAAATACATATCAATTAAAATTTTCATAATAGCATCAAAACTGTGGCCACTGCTTGTGACTTGTGGGCGTCAGAGGGGGCGTGGCACCATTTTGAAACAAACTTGCGCTGCGTAGGAACTCCTAAAATCTACTTGCAAAATGCCAATCTTCTAGCTTTTATAGTTTCCGAGATCTCAGCGTTCATACGGACAGAAAGACAGACGGACAGACAGACGAACAGACGGACATGGCTAGATCGACTCGGCTAGTGATCCTGAACAAGAATATATATACTTTATAGGGTCGGAAACGCTTCCTTCTACCTGTTACATACTTTTGCACGAATACAATATACCCTTTTACTCTACGAGTAACGGGTATAACAAGAAAGGGAGCAAACTATACCTTTGCAGATATTACAAATCGACTACATTTCGATTTCTTAGCCTATATTACTAAAAACAATTAGATGTGTATATTATTATTACTGCAAGGGTAGATAAACTTCGGCTTTCCGAAGTTGGCTTCCCTTCTTGGTTAATACTAAAATTATTATTTTATAACAGTTCCTTTAAAAAAGAACAAATATATTTCCGCTTCGTTTTTACCTCAAGACAAAAATATTTTTTTGAATAAAATAGGACTTATACTTTATGTTATATATTTTAAAAGTAAATTACATGAAAATGGTTTGAAATTGTTGAACATATTAAATTTAGGCACAGTTAACAGAACGGTTGTGACTGACACAAAAATTGGATTCTTAACGATCTTCTGGTAATACCAAACCTTGTTACTTTAAATCCAGTTGTAAAAAGATATTAATTAACTTGACGGGCGATGCTAGATCAGACCAGTTAAATATTAATGGCTATATTTAATCCACCATTTTATTCTTTGCAAATCTGACTCTTAGGTCCAATCAGAGTTTGCGAAAATTTACAAATGGTTCCTAGGAAAATATACCCCAAATTAATTTGAAAAAAAAACATTTTAAAACTTATCGCGAAAGAAAACTAAAATTTGTGAACTTGTATAATACTTTAATGATAATCTTAGATAAGTTATAATACCTACTTTAAAGGGTCGAAATTGTTCCCCGACTTAGTTACGAATTTCATACCATATTAATACTTTCTGCGATGGTGTAAGTAGTATAAATAAGTTTGAAACTTTTTAATTTTACAGTTTAATGAAAACATAATAATGTAGTTGTATTCTGTTTAATAGAACTGTAGACGGATCTCGTTAGTGTCAACTGACAGTGAGAGCTTTCAATAAAAACATATAGACCAAGGATCAGATTTAAACTCCACTGTAAGTGAAATAATTTTCTAAAGAAATGTGGATGGAGTGAAAAAGAACGATCTTGTAAATAACCCAGCCGAATATAATAAAATAGACATCAAAAACCGTTTTTTTTATACTCGAAGATTGGAAAAACAATGGTTTTGTCTTTATGGCAAAAGCTTTAAACTTTAATGAATAGTTCAATTGTAATGAATAGTTCAAACCTGAAGTTAAGATTTTCGTATAACCTTTAGGTAATTAAAGCACTTCTCTTGAAAATCCAAGTTTTCGGAGATATTCTGACACATTTTTAGTTGATTAAGTTGTACACAATTATTTTATATGATGCTATATAATTGTGGCTTTGAACACTAGCACAAGTTTGACGTTTGATGGTGGTCGAAAAACTCCCCGTCTTTTTCATCACTAGTATTCTTTAAAATAATACACAAAATTCTTAAGCTTAAACTAATGTTGTAAGTCCGGAAAAAGAGGGCTTTCCTATTTTAAAGCATTTGATGAAAACTATGCTAAGCTAAGCAGAAAACTTATATTAAATCAGGAAATATAATATATAATAATATCAAATAGTAATGATAAAAATATTTGAAATTATATATAAAATGTCGCAAATAAACTTTTGAATATAATATGTTTTATTATTTACTATACTTTATTAAGTATCAGTATTCGAACTTTTAGGGATTTTAGTGTGTTCTCGCCCTCGTTTACCTCTTTGCGAGGTTATTTTGGCAGACAAATAAAATAATGAATATCTGTATGCACGGCCTCGATTACGGTTACGGTTACGGTTACAGCTGAGACTTTGGAGTCGCTCCCAGTAAACAAGTACAGATAACCTGGCGGCGCGCGAGTCATAGAAAAACTAATTTGGCCGCCGCCTCGGCCAAGTATAAATATGACTGTTGCTGGGGGTTCAGACACGTCTCGTTTAGAAATAGAACTTGTACACAAAAGTGGAGTCGGCTTGAAGTCGAGTCATCGCCATCGTCCTCGCAAAGTAAGCCAACGTCTTCGTTTCAGGACGCGGTTGGAACCTTCGGCTAAGAGTCTTCGTTGCGTCTTCGTGTCCACCAACACCAACACTAACACCAGCATCTTCGCTCAGCAGCACCAATTTTAACGGGTATCAATGCTCTCTTAACTTGCTCTTAGTTAACAAATCGGACAACATCGGAATAATGGTCGACCGGCGGGGCATTGGGTCATCTTTGTAGTGGAAGTCAAAGTATGATCGTCGATGTTGTTGTTCAGTCGGTTTTCCGGCTGGGACTCAAGCTAAATATTAGGACTCGGATTCAGTAGTTACCTCAGAGATAAACATAGATCCTCTCTTGTGATTGTAGTACGAAGACGGTAGCAACGTCGCTGAAGATGATGAGGAGCATGCAAATCGAATGGTTAACGTTCCACGAGCACCTGGTAATTTCCTTATAAATTACTTTTTACAAGTGGCTTTTCTTATAGTTAATAGGTTATGGTTTGATTTAAATTATTTTTGATGTGTTATTGAAAGTCATTTAAACATAAGGCCGGAATAAGGCACACGTTACGGTGTCGCGATATATTCGTTACGAAAAGTCATTAATCGCCTATTTTCGGTGTAACTCTCAAAATTACAGTACCCCCTCTCTGTACCGTCATGGAGCTAGACAGATTAAGTCTCTATTTGGATTTTATTAGCTTTTAATTTTTGTAAATTTTAAATCACAATTTGTTACCCGATACCTTTACTTATTTTCTCGCCCAAAAAGTATCACCTAACTATCGGAAATGTATTTTTCGCCTATTGCCTATTTCTCTCGTCCACTACAATTTAAGGTATATAAAAATATAATTTTATTTAATAAAGTTTCAGAGTTTTTTTAGCCTGGATCACCAAAAATTGGCTACAAATACGTTTATATACCGACTTAAATAAATATCTAATTAAAAAATCTCCCATTTATTTTAGTGAAATATGGTATTATAGTGGTTTAAGTGGATTAGTTGGTAGCGTTATAGAACTACGATATATTTTATTTTACGTACTGTTGTCTAGATTAATTTATATTTCGCTCTCCAGGTTTTATCGTGTAATTACAATTGATATTTTTGAAAATTGCTCTTATTATAAGAAAGTCTATCGTGATTTTCTTCTGGAGTGTGTAGTTAAATATGGGTATAAATATAGCCACTTTTGTGTCAAATACTAGCTGTAGGGTATGTGGTAGTCAAAACTGTCTGTTCCGGTGTCAGTGTGTCTTGAATAAGCATTCGGGGAATGTATTTTGTAGCTGTGGAAATGTATCCTCTGTGATAACTTTGGAAATCTCGGTGTAGCTCGTAACACACAAACTCTTAACCTTAGATATAGAATGTTAGCTAGCTATACAATTTAAACGTCTATATATATACATAAGTAAGTTAGTTTTTTTTAGTCCGTGGCCTAGGTCAAATTCTCACGCAATCCTTACTCAAACCTACAGTTCAAAGATAAAAAGTGTTTTCTGCGTAAAATTGTTTATGGTTTTCGTTTAAGTTCCTTTTGTATTTTTAATAAATTTATAAATTTTTTTCGTAATTAATTTATGTGGTTTTGTACTTTTGATTTCAATTTTGCAACATTTTGGTTGTTGTAAATTATGTTTTTATTTCATTTGTCTAACATAGAAATTTGAGATGGTTTTTAGCGGTTTATTCTCGTTGGTCGGTTTTTATGTTGGGTTACATTGATTTATTTGTTATAATTTTCTTAGATTCGTGATGAAGGTTAAGTTGATGTTGATATTCCGTTTTAGTAATGTGAGTACTTAAATCAGAGAATTAATTGCATCTGTTCTATTGCTTTAAAACTTAAAAATGGTTGTTGAGTTAGGTTGGATGATTTTATCGCTTGATACGGATTCTTGTATTTGTATTAAAAACGTTTTTGGTCTATTGTTTTTGTTAAAATTATGATGATCTGAAATAAAATAAATAGAAAAAGTTTTTTAAGATTTTTAATTTGAAGCAGTAAAACACAAATAATATTGCCCAATTGCTACGCAATTCATTGGTGCTTTGCTTCTTTATCTATCATCTTTTTTTTTGGTTTTTTGGTTTATTTTTATCACAAATCCACAATAATTTTAAATCTAGTTTATGCACATTTGATAAAATAAAAATGCTCCGCGAGGTCAGGACGATCCGCAGTCGGCTGTTCTACTCCATGGAATATTGCGTTTGTGAATGCCGCATCCAAAATAATTGAGAATAAAAATCATCGCCTCGGCAATACGTTGTTTGGTGAGCTGGAGAAGGGACAACGAGTGGCCAAAAGGGGGGAACGACTGGGAGTCAGCGGTGTGCTTATTATAAGATAAAAATTGTGTGTGTTAAACAAAAAGTGACAGCAGCGGCAGCGACTGCAGCAACGAAAGCGGCGGATGTGGATGTGGATGTGGATTCAGGTCCTTGCACTCGGACAGGCCAGCGCCGGCGCTCTTGGCAACTGCAGTTGCAATGCCAGTTGCTTCTGCACTTGTAGTTGCAGTTTCACACTCAAAGAAAATTAAAGCTTTTACAGGCGTCGCCTCTTACACCTCAACTCCTCATCTAACTCAGTAATGCCAACATCAAACATGTTAAGTAGTATAATGCCCTGCAAAGTTTTTTTCAAAATCCGCCGACTTACAGTGTACTTTCTATATTTGTTATAGGAAGATCAGGGCATTACTGATTACTATTGCCCTTAATTCCACCATCACTATGTAAAAAGGCTTACCGGCGCCTACTTTTTAAAAATAATAAATCTATTCAAATTCTAGTTTATGTCCAGTCCCCTCCTAATAAAAAAACTAGCAAAATTGATAATTTTGACCCTACAATCATAAAGATTCCTCAAATTAGTTTTACAATCCTAATATGACCCTAAATTGATCCTAGAAATAAAGTCAATCGTCTTGATATTTTCGAAAATATTTTATTTTATTAATTTATACAACCTTTAAAAAAACAAGAAAGGAAGCAAATTTCTATGCCTTTATTACTGAAAACAATGAAGCTACATATGTCGATTTTGCATTTTGTCATCGTCACCTATATGATATTGTTGTCCGATTTTGAGAAAAATAAAAGCGTAATTCTGATTTAGTAAATAATTCAAATATCTCAAAGGAATATTTTGATAAACAGAAAAACAGCAAAACAAAAAGTTTTTTAAAATTTTTTTCTTTTTAATTTTTTCATTTTTTAATGGGTGCTATATGATATAGATGTCCGATTTTAATTTAATTAAAACCATAATTCCTTAATATTTAAATATTACCAAATCCCAAAGAACAAACAAAAAAATTGGTTTTTTCGTTCCGACTTATATACTACCTGCAATAGAAAGACAACTAGCCTTAAAATGCCTTTAAAACTGAGGGACTAGTAGGGATTTGATCTGCGGTCTCTGGATCGTCAAGCGCTTACCAAAGCCACTAAGCCATTGACTTAATTTAATCATTAATGGCAGTTAGCATACATCATATCTTTATAACTTCCTCATAAAATGTTGTTCTTTTATAACAATTTCTGGCCAACAGTCTTAGCCGCAAGGAAAATCATAACTAAGAGCCGGATCGAATTCCGAAAATCGAAACAAGCGATTATTGGTATTGAAGTAACCCTGGGGATTCATAATATTTATACCATCATAATACTATACTATTTCCAAATTATACACAGTATACATATATTCTTAAGAAAACAAAAAAAAAATAACAAGGTACGCACAATAGAACAAACTTCAGCTTTCTTTTAATGGAGAAAAACTTTGTGTATGTATCTACGATCCAGTTTTTTCGAGTGTATGCAACTGCATGCTGTCGATGCCCAGAGACCATTCGTTCCCCGCGAGTGTGTGTGTGAACCAAATATGTCTGGCCCATGCCGCGTTTCAGATGCGTTTTCGTTGCATCATCCCTTACGCCACCCCCGCCAACTGATTACTCTCACACAGAGTGGCGAGGGGGCAGCAAGTGCTGTTTTGGCTGCACTCGGTGTCGGCCGGTCATCGTTGCACTTTCCGCAGTAACATCCCTTATATGGCGGCGGTGCAGCCGTGATGACCACTGCAACCACCCAATGAACCCCCCTTTCACTCCCCTCCCCCCCCGCTGCAACCGCAACGGAGCCGGTCCTGGTCGGTGGTATGCAAATTTGTGCATGATTTAATGTCTACTTCAAGGCCTCTCTGGCACCTCCTGTCCCCGCTCTTGTCCTGCTGTCTCCCTCTCTCCTTCTGGTTGCCGCCGTCTCGACTCTTTTACCGGTTTCTGTCTAGCTTGTGTTTGTGCGCTGCACTTCGCTGTGTCTGTGCATGTGTGTGTGGTTTCGTGTGTGTGCATGCAATCTGGATGCATTTCTGGTCGGCGTCACGGTGTAGCTGTATGCATTTTAATGTATATGTGAAAATCCTTATGTGCAAAACATTCACGTATGCAGCACAGACATACACACGTAAGCACCCGACAAACACTATCGAACCCTTAATGATTTAAATATATGTATGTGCTTATTTAGTATATACGCAAACATATATGCTGCAGCATGTATATACATACATATGTACACACATAGGTAGAATTAGCTGCCTTCTCTCCTGTTCAATCGATTTTATTCTGTGCTCAGTCCATTTATATCGACCTCTATTGATTTTCTTAAATATTATACATTGACAACTAACAGTGGCAAAGCTCTTGAGCTAAGCGATTTACATTTGAAACTGAGAAACAAGAGATACAAACTACATCAAATCCTTCAAAAATAAGAATAAATAAATTTAAACATTTTTTAATTAGATTATCTAAAGTATTATCTCTAAAATGTTCAAAATTAACGCCTCTAAAGTAAACAAAATGAGGTCCAATCCAATCAGTATTTGTTCATGCTTAGCAACAGATGGTTATTATGACACTGGTAGGCTCGTCTTGCCAATATACTTGAGAATATCCTCTCAAGGACCTTCCTGTAGATTTATTTTTACACTCTTGCAGAGGGTATTATAATTTTGGTCAAAAGTGTGCAACGCAGAGAAGGAGACATCTCTGACCCTATAAAGTATGTATGTATATACATATGTATATTCTGGATCAGCAACAACAGGAGAGTCAATCTAGCCATGTCCGTCTGTCTGTCCGTCCGTTTCTACGCAAACTAGTCCCTCAGTTTTAAAGCTATCTGCTTGATCGGGACCCTATATCATATAGCTGCCATATAACTGAGCGATCGGAAATGCGTGTTTTTAAAGTTAGGAAGTTGTGATTTTTTATGGATTTTATATTTGGCCAATCAATCCGACCTACTAAATTTCTTAAGGATCGGCCGACTATATCCTATGGCCGCCATATAACTGATTGATCGGAAATGCCACAACTTTGGTGTTTGTAAAGTTTGGATTTTCTATGTGTTTTTTTTTCAATCAATCCGACCTACCAAACTATGCCATATAACTGAACGATTGGAAATGCCATAACTTTGGTGTTTTTAAAGTTTGGAAGTTGGGATTTTTTAAGAGTATAAGGAATGCATCATATGAATAATTTTGGAGAATATTATTTACAGAATATTCTGCAAGGGTATATCAACTTTGGCTCCGCCCGAAGCTAGTTTTCCTTTCTAGTCTTAATTTTCTTTCGTTCTTTGGGATTTGGTAATATTTAAATATTATA